AAAAAAAAAAAAAAAAAAAAAAAAAATTTGACAACATCATTTATGAATTTAAATAAAACGTAAATGAAAGAAATTTAGCCTGAACGATGAACTGCATAAAAAAAAAATCTACAGAAAGTTAGAATCGATCCCGTGATAGCAAAACAATTCGAGCGGTGGCATAAGCATCAAGCAACTTAGCTACCGAAACTTCGGTCCTTCGAAATTTAAATAAAACGTAAACAAAATAAATTTAACCTGAACGATGAACTGCATTAAAAAAAAAAAATCTACAGAAAGTTAGAATCGATCCCGTGATAGCAAAACAATTCGAGCGGTGGCATAAGCATCGCGCAACTTAGCTACCGAAACTTCGGTCCTTAGAAATCTAAAAGCCACTTATATTCATTAATAACCTTCGGAGCTCGTCCTACAGTTCATAACAATTATGAGAAAAAATAATAAATTAGGGATTATAACTGAACTGCCATCCTTAAAAAAATAGCTGAACATTTTTTCAAAATAATACTGAATTTCAAAATAAGTATTAAAAGTAGAGGAAAAAGAAAAAAGAGCGAGAGCAAAAATCAGTTTAATATATATACGATATACTCGGTTGCAGTCAAAAGAGAAAAATTCGTGTCGTTGCTTGCTTTGGCTGTGCGTTCAGATATATAGCTATAGTCAACATTTTCACTCCTCTTCTCGTAGACACACATTCGGTATACCCCTTCCACGTCTCTCCAAAATGTGCGCCTATATGACCATTTCCACGCAAATCCACTCCTCTTCTCGTAGGCGCACGCTGTCCGATACGAGTACTGAGATGTGCGCCCGGTTCGACGGCTGGCCGCGGTGGGGCGCTCTGATCAGTACCAAAAAGTCGTCTCGCATCGTAGCATTGGCGTTAGCAATCTCTCTACTCATCTCTGAGTTTAGGTATAGATAGGGTACACACGTGCGTCTCTTGCCTGCAAAGCACACCAAGACATCACGGGACAGCCTCGCCATCGCCTTGTCAGCGCCTGCCACCTTACGCCTGCGAGCAAGTGACTTGCCAGCAAGATACCAGGCCGAAGATTCTTGTTGAGAGACCATCTGCTCGGCTAAAAAACATAAACACGAGGCTACGAAAAGCCAGGTAAGCGCAGTGCGTGCATGAAAATCGTGATAGCCGTTTAATCTCTTTCTGTATCTGGTCGAATTATTGCGTGCCGTTGGAAAGCCTTCCCCGGCCGTACGTGCCTTGCTATTAATGCGATCGAGCGAAAAACACACACATACACACAGATACTTTTGTACCAGTGCAATTAATATAGTTTCCATTTTTATGATCACTAAATGTTTGTGTCTTGCTTTGTGTGAGCCTTTCCCTGCACGAAACTCTTCCGGCTACTCTTATTTACAGACTTTATTTAGAGATCGTGACGTCCATTAAGGAGATGTAAGCCGAGTATCGGCCTTATCCTGCCGCCTCCGCAGGCTCGCGCGTAAACATCGACGCGCGAGCATCTTAAGTTAAGCCAGAGCAGAGCTGGCCCCTCATGCAAACAGACGAGAGCAAGGGAAAGCGGACTCGTTGTCTGCGTTGTAATGTGATTGTGTCTCCGTGTGTACCCAGGAAGCACGGTCCCGGTCACAATACTCTTCGCATTAATTAGTAGTTTTCAGAACCGTAAGCGAGTATAGACACCCTGTTACAACCTATAAACATCGAATGAAATTACTTTTGAACATAGTAATTTTTACTATAATGAATAGCAATGCAGTGGAATCGGAAATTTTACTATGTCACATAGTAATTTTGACTTTAGAATGTGGGACAGTTTCAAGTGGTTACGATAAAAATTTACTATGTTGTATACTAAAAATTATACTATTATGATTTTTACTTTTTCAGACATAGTAATTTTTATTATAGTGTGTAATAATTTTTGTAGAGTTAGCACATAATAAATATTTAAAATGTAATGACAATTATTTGAAATGTAATAATTTGCAGCATCAGGTGAGTACGTCTTAGCTTTTCTAAAAAATATAGTAAATTTAGTATAGTTATAATACTTTTTTTAACACCACTTTTATCAGTGTGTGCTCCATATTAAGGACGTTCATCATACATAGCGTTTTCTGTACGATCTTGCTGAAATTTCAACAGGATACTCGTAATGATGTTAAAAAGTCTCATGTAAAATTTTATACCATTTTATGGCACCGTTTTTTAGATATTAAATGTTGAAAAAACTCCAATTTAACACGTAATCTTATGGAAAGCTCACATAAAAATTGTTAGAATTCGTCCAATTTTTTGGCATGACGTAATACCATAATACTGGTATTATATTCAATTTTTAGAATGATCGAGAAGTTATTTTTGCAATCAAATAAACAAATCAGTGTCAGACGATTATTTATAGTTATTCAAATGCATGCAAAGCAGTTTCTGGCGCTGCCGTGTGCTCGCTCTCCCCTCACTGCACTCTTTAGATTTCCCCTCTAACTGTAATGAACGTCCTTAATTACCCAACCCATTTTGTGCTGACCGTAAACCCCAATAATAAAATTTCGAATTAAATTTGAAATTACAAAAAAATCTAATTTAACCCATACTTTTGTAAATTGAATGTAACTCTGAAATTGGCACTTGATTTGAACTAATTTTTCTGTGATAAAGCCTGTAGCTTGAATTACCGTTTACAGAAAAATATATATACTATAATTCTTTGGAAAACTAAAGCAGCAATTTTACCTGCCTCATAAAGGTTACCTAAATTTCTAGATGGAGATTCATTAGATTATTTTAAAGGCACTTTTTTATTATTAGTTACTTGTCATTACCTTATAAATTTTAATTATAATATGTATCTAAATAGTTGCGCACTTTTTTTGCATCTTGCATTAAATAGTATTAAACTCTTTTATCGTTATAATGCTTGTAAGAGTCACCATAGATTTTTCATACCGTAGATTTTAAATAGCAAAAAAATGAACCATTGCATCGTACTAAAATAACATTTCTTAAAATTTGATTAAAATGTATTTAAAGATTTCAGGAACTTATATTATGTTAAAAATAAATAGAGCTTATGAGAACTTTTTAAGTAATGTTCATTTTGAGAAACTTTAATCAATAATTTTTAGACAATCAAATTAATATTTCAGATACCATTCAGCAGTAGTTTTGCCATGTCAACTTGTAAGGCACTCTGTTCAACAAATGCAGACACCTAACGGTTTAAGGTTTTCTTCACTTGCCATTTACGCAGCTGTTTCTAGGACTCAATTACAGCGCCAAAATCACCCAGTGTATGGTGATATGGTTATTTTAGAGTATGTTATTAAAGATGGTAATACACGTAGACTACGAAGGGCATTCGCTTATGTAACGGAAGTTCAGCAACAGAGTGCACAGAAATTCATAAGATCTCACGAAACTTTGTGTAAGTATAAATTTTTTTAAAAATATTTCATGTTATTTTTTTCACAAATTTCATTGTGTTATCAGTTCTCTTTATACATATCAAAGTAACTTTCCAATTTATTGGCCACAACGAGAGTAGATTTCTAATATTTTAAAAGACGTACAATGAAAAGCAAAATTGAAACTACATATAAGTCTCAAAATTAGAGAGGTATCAGTAGCCTCATCGTTTCACAATCACGAAAATTTTGTAACGTATCCTGACTATTTAATTTCTAGTAGACAACTTGCATACTGCAAGATTCAGTCAACTAATACTTTTTATCGCTAGCGTGATAAGGTAGGTTAAGTGGCCTATTATGGCACAATTTTAGGCAGAATTGAAAAAAAAAATCATTATAAAATCGTGATCAGCCTCAATATCTAAAGTTTAGGCATCAATATAAGCGCTTAATATTTCCGAGCAATTTTATAATTTTTTAAATAAATTTAGGTGTTAAATAATTATTTTATAAACAAATATCTACGCAGTAAATCGGATATTATCATGAAACATACTGGAAAATTGGGCTCCTATTTATGAAACAAAAGGTTCCTATTATAGTACACACATGTTAATTAAATGCATCTTCTTCGTTTCATAATAGGAGCCTTGTGTTTTAGAGGTTATGTTGTCATTCCCCTCATCATGGTACAGGGCTCATTAAAGCTCTCATTCAAATCGATAATACTTGAAAGTAACGTGAAAACTTCTGAATTTTGAAGGTTTGCTCGACCGGTGATTAATGATGTCAGTTTTTGCTTTGAGACGTCATTGTACTGTATTTGAATACACTTTATTCGAAGCAGATAGCAGACTGTTTTTGTTTACTGAGAGAGTTGTTGACACTTTGCGTATCAGTATTTAAATCACCATGAATCCAGGATTTCTTAAAAAACATCCGAAAATTTACCAAAAATAGATTTAGAAATGATGTTAAATTTCATTTATTCCAATGAGTGCTATGAAAGTTATTGATGATAATCTAGTGATTATTTCAGGTTCTGTTTCTGAGTACTGATAATTCTCTTGACTTTAAGAAAATGTGCATGAAAGAGGATGTGACGAGTGGCTCAAAGCTGATTTATTAGACTGATCAACTAAATTTCTAGAAATGTTGAATAAAAAAAACTCTAACGTAGATAAATCAAAAAGTTAAAATAAAATTTTGTAGAGCAGCAGCAGCAGTTGTAAAATCTTGCTGTACTGGCAGGAAAAACCAAGGAATTACATTAGGTTTTATATTTTTTTTGATTCCATCACTTTCCACTCCACATAGTTTTGTGAATCATTTTGTAACTAAGTTTTTAGAAAATGTTAAATTTTACGAGATTTTTTTCTGGGTAACTTACAGCATAGCACCAAAGTTTTCTTTTTAAGTGTTGATTTTAGGGGTTACAATCTGGTCCGAAGGATCTGGCAATCTGGCGGATCCGGTACTGTTTTTCTATTTCCTAGATCCAGTTAACAGATCCGATAAAATTGAAAATTGCCGAAAACTCATGCGTGCTATAAACATGGCTAAGTATTTATACACATCTACGTATACTGCGGCAAAGTTGTTCGCAGAGTTACTCATTTTGTACATAAACAAATTTATATAGGTATGCGTTTTGAGCCATAAGTTGAGCACTAGCAGTTTTTAAGTCACATTATTTCCTCACACTAAGTCGATAGTTGACTGTGATCGCTAAAGTACCTATTTAGTCTTACCATAAACTATAAGCGAACGTTATATTTAACAAATAAGTTAAAGTTAGTTGATTTGTGTAATCACTAAGATGTAAATTATTCTTAAAGGTATTTCGTAAAGAAAGTCATTTCACTTTGCTAATTGACTGTGAAAAAAGCTAACTAAATGATTTTGCTTATATGACAGATATATTTATATCGAAAATTAACTACGTCGTTTTCAAAATCATAACAAGATCAGGATAAGAACCGTAAGGATAATGGCAAAACATTATGGGACTATTTTTTGAAGAATTTCGGAGGTAAATCGTATTTTTGTCGTGGGTATGCGAACAACATAGCAAAAAATTGTAGGTACAGAGACAATGTATTTAATGTATATAAATTATGTAATAAGAAAAGACATTTAGCGCATGTGTATAATGAACTTTGCATAGTATCCAAGATTACAACGCAAAGTTGCGTAAAGATTATAACAGAGGCAAGAACTATTTTGTTGATGGTTAATCAGATGCAAAGTATTCAGTAGTGATGTTTGAGAGAAAATATTTTCAATTTCGGAAAACTTGAAGCAAGTGAAATCATTAATTGTAGATTTATTGGTTAAAAACAAAATGATTAGTTTTGAAATCCATACGGGTTTATGTATTTGAGACACATCAGAAAAATGTTTGTCTAGGTATTTTAATAATGTAAAATTAGTATCGATGACTCGTAACTTTAGATGTTATACGGGTCAAAGTATGGTACCTTTGAGAATTATGTATGTTTCGGTTACTTATAAGGGTCATGTCTTTAATCTTGAATTATTCATTTTACCAGGGAATGGTGCTCTCATCATGGGTAAAGATTGGTTATGGTAAATTAGGCATCATCATACGTGATATAAATTAGTTTTTAAAAGTATTTCGTGTAGAAAGTCATTTCACTTTTTGAATTGACTGTGAGAAAGGCTAACTAAATTTTTTCGCTTATATTACAGATATATTTATCCTACAACGTTACTACATAAACTGCTGGCTAGAAATCCGTCAACATGTTATAAGCCCATTTACACATGTACATTGACAAGTTTCTAGCCAGATTATGTAGTAATTTTCTACCAGGGTACACTGAAAATTAATTATGTCGCTTTCAAAGTCATGTCAGGGTAAGAATCGTAAGGATAATGGTAAAACATTATGGGACTATTTTTCTAAATGTGATGACGGAAACAGCGTAACAAGCTCATTGTGCTCTAGTATGCTGAAAATAAGTAAAGATTCTTACAAAGGCTTCAAAGTGCATTTGGGAAAAGTACTGCATTAACATGACTTCTGAAAAATACGAATTAAAACACCCCACAGTGGGACCAAATCACAAAAACCTGGCTAAAAATCGAAAAATCAAGTAATTGATCTGAAATTTCTTACTCAAGGGTTTTACTCACAACCCCATTTAGAAATTAAATGTGAATTCTTGCCTTCATCCTTATTTAATATTTTTAGAACATCAATCTGAGATTGTAAAATTCGTTCAGCTGTATGATGTAGCAATGGCTGGACTGCCACTTAACGTTCGATTAACGCCACTTAACGTTTGACATTTTCATAGAACAGTTTGGACAGCATTTTTTTTTGCAGCTGTTATTATTTTATACGATGGAAAGAGTATGACATTTGTTTTTAAGCCAGCATTACGCAGCTGAAGATATTGGTTTTTAGATAATTTCAATTCAATGATCAAAGAAAGTGCTTCATCGCCTGTAAATACATTTTTACCCTCAGATATTCCCATGGATTTACGGCAGATTTTTGCTTTTGTTGAACTTCCTATCGTGACCTCTTGTACAACCTTTGCAGCATCTATCTTTCCCTCAGCACGTAATTTCATTTGGCATCATCAAACGTGATGTAAATTAGTTTTCAAAAGTATTTCGTAAAGAAAGTCATTTCACTTTTTGAATTGACTGTGAGAAGGGCTAACTAAATTTTTTCCGCTTATATTACAGATATATTTATCCTACAACGTTACTACATAAACTGGCTAGAAACTCGTTAACATATTATAATAATTTGGCCGCATAAGCAAGCTCCTTCGTACTAACTTCTGCCCTTATTATTTCTGTTTTTCGACGCTTACTTCTATCAGAGGAAGATGCAAAACTGGAAGAAGGTCTGCCTGTGCTTGATTTTATATTTTGCTCTGTTGTTGCTTGTAGTTAATTAGTTCCATTCAACCATTCTCTATTACTTTCCAAGAATCTTGACTCCGTTTTTTTACATTTATTCCACCTTTCTTTAATCTAAGATGAAATTTTTCTAACAGTACTTTTATGGGCGTCTGATAAAATATACAATGATTGCAGCTAACTGGACATCAAGTTTTCAACAATCGAATACACTTCAGATATGTCTGCTTGTAAATTGTGCTTGACAGCTTAAAAAAATTATGTTTTTGTTAAACCATTAAGAAAATTAGAATGGCTGTTGTCTGAAAAATTATTATAATTTTAATTGTACTTGTAAAATTAATTGTAATACACTCCACATACCTTCTACAGATGGTTCCATTTGGACCGACTGCAATTTCTTGGTTAGTAAACTTTTTATACCGTTTTGACTACTTACACCTATTTGACGAAATATTAGGGTTTAACAACAAACGAACAAAGTTCAACAGCAACCGCAAATTTTGCAGACTGTAGAAACAAATCTAACCTTTCCCTACTGATTCCTCACTAATAGAGGTGTCCTAGAGCCAACCCCTCTCCCCCCCCCCCAAAAAAAATCCTATCCAGTAACTTTTTTTTTTCATTTTGGCCAGCTTTTTTGGATTTGGTCCCACTGTGCGCCCTCACTTTTTAGTAAGTTTTTAATCTACATCTTAAAAAGAAGTTCCAAGTAAGAAAAATAAACCTACTTGTTGTATATGTAGTATTATAGCGACATATATCAGGCGAGCAGTGTGAGTGACACTTCTACTCATATCCATTAAATATACTACATTGGCGATGAAGATAAAAACGTATTACTAATGAGAAAGCAATGGGAATTGTGGCTTGTTTACTCGTACCCTATATTAATCATGTCGGATGATATCTGCAGTAATTGTATCAGTAACAGTGAATTTGAATCATTAAAAGTAAAGTGCGCAGGAATCAAAAAAGAGTTGTCTGAAACCACGGCCTTGCTTGAAGAAACAATGATCTCGAGAGGAATCATTGTTGACATTGAGCCGTTTGTTGTAAAAGAAGATAATTGAGATCTATGGATCGAAATCAATGCTATTGGAAAAAATGGCTATTC